AGGAGGCGGTGGTGCGTCCGCTCTTAAAGAAAACATCATTAGATCCCTTAGATCTATCGAATTACCGCCCAGTCTCGAATCTTCCATTCCTGGGTAAGGTGATTGAGAGAGCGGTTGCTGAACAGCTCGGTAGGTTTCTGGATGAAACATCTGCTCTGGATCCATTCCAGTCCGGCTTCCGCGCTGGGCATGGGACCGAGACGGCTCTGGTCGCCCTAACAGATGATCTCCGCAGGCAGCTGGATCGAGGCGGGTCGGGGCTGCTGATTCTTCTTGATCTGTCAGCAGCCTTTGACATGGTCGATCACGAACTTCTGGACCACCGCCTTGCCGACGTGGGGATCCAGGGCACAGTCCTTCAATGGCTGCGCTCGTTTCTCTCTGGTCGGGGACAGAGGGTGGCGCTTGGGGGGGAATTGTCATCGCGTCACTCCTTGGTGTGTGGAGTGCCTCAGGGTGGGATTCTCTCCCCAATGCTTTTTAACATCTTTATGCGCCCCCTCGCCCAGCTTGTCCGGAGTTTTGGGCTGGTTTGCCATCAGTATGCTGATGACACCCAACTCTATCTGTTGATGGACGGCCATCCTGACTCGGCCCCAGACACACTGACCAGATGTCTGGAAGCTGTGGCTGGATGGTTTCGTGGGAGCCGGTTGAAGTTAAATCCTTCGAAGACAGAGGTCCTCTGGCTGGGGCGGGACGATATGGGATCGAGGGGGCAACTCCCATCTCTTGCGGGGGTGCAATTAGTGCCAGCACCGTCCGTTAAGAGTTTGGGTGTAATCTTCGATACCTCCCTCTCTATGGAGGCGCAGATTACAGCTATAACAAAGGCGGCATTTTTTCATCTCCGCCAAGCTAAGCAGTTAGCCCCTTATCTCTCTCGCCCTGATCTAGCCACTGTGATCCATGCGACGGTCACCTCCAGACTGGACTATTGTAACTCACTCTACGTGGGGCTGCCCTTGAAACTGACCCAGAAACTCCAGCGGGTGCAGAATGCCGCGGCGAGACTCCTTATGGGGTCTTCGCTGCGAGATCACATTCATCCGGTACTATACCAGCTGCACTGGCTCCCGGTGGAGTACAGGATCAGGTTTAAGGTGCTGGTTTTAACCTTTAAAGCCCTATACGGCCTAGGACCCTCGTACCTACGGGACCGCCTCTCCTGGTATGCCCCACAGAGAAACCTACGGTCTGCAAATAACAACATCCTCAAGGTCCCAGGCCTCAGAGAGGTTAGGCTGGCCTCAACTAGAGCCAGGGCCTTCTCGGCGGCGGCTCCAATCTGGTGGAATGCTCTGTCACAAGAGACTAGGGCCCTGCGGGACCTGACATCTTTCCGCAGGGCCTGCAAGACAGAGTTGTTCCACCAGGCCTTTGGTCAGGGCGCAGCCTGACTCCCTCCTCTGGCAACCTGCACAGAATCTTGCCTAATCGGTTGCCAACAATTTGATTTTAATTAATTTTTATAATGAAATGTTTTTAGAATGTTTTTAGAATTTGACTGTTTGACTATTTGACTGTTGTTAGCCGCCCTGAGCCCGGCTTCGGCTGGGGAGGGCGGGATATAAATAAAATTTATTATTATTATTATTATCTGAGATGTGAAACATACTTTATTAAGCAAAATGCAGAGTAAAAGTGCCTGTGGTTGGTGGAGCAGAATTTGTCTTCTTCTTTTACCATCTTCCAATATCTGCTTACGCATTGAAGTTTGCTGAAGAAGGGATTTCTGTTTTATTCCGCTACATGTTGAAAGTTTCATCAAAATCTGAGATGGTGGGTGGCGAAACCTTTTTTTTTTTTTGCGTTGATTTGATGTGGCATGACCCTCACCTAAATGGAATGCCTAGTTGCCATTTTGGGGCCAGATGACTCAATGACTTTTTGGTTCCTGAAATTTATTCTGCTGGTGTAGATAAGTATAACAGATATAATTCTACAGGATGTGTTGCTCCTGTATGAAATAGTCAAGATGCAAGGATCCCCAGGCACGTACCTCCAGATGGTGGAGACGTTGGGCACCATCCTGGCACCTGGGCACAACTTGTTTAGTCGCTAAGTCGTGTCCGACTCTTCGTGACCCCATGGACCAGAGCACGCCAGGCACTCCTGTCTTCCACTGCCTCCCACAGTTTGGTCAAACTCATGCTGGTAGCTTCGAGAACACTATCCAACCATCTCGTCCTCTGTCATCCCCTTCTCCTTGTGCCCTCCATCTTTCCCAACATCAGGCCTGCAACACCGGCAACTAAGGGACACACCTAGGAGACGCCCAAGACACCCTGGTCGAGGGTGCACATCAATCTGGCAAGCCCCTTTCGCGACCAGACCTTTATGGTAGTGGTGGACGCCTAATCCAAATGGCTGGAGGTGGCCCTGATGCCCACCACCACTACCGAGGTGGTGGCACTTTTGAGCGATATCTTTTGGGACTGGGCATCCGCCATAATTAGAATACAAAAAAGGAAGGTGTGAGGAGGTCGATGAAACAAGGTAATGAAAGATAAAGATATGGGAATATTGGATTTGTTTTTAATCCTTTTTTTTCTTTTGGTTTTGGTTTTGATGTATTGTGTGTTTTGTATTTTTTTTAAAAAATGTTGATTTGTATTGTTTAATTTCTTTTCTCTCTCTCCTTTTTCTGTTTTTCTGTAAATTTTAAATTCTTAATAAATATCATTAAAAAAACAACAACAAATGGCTGGAGGTGGCCCTGATGCCCACCACCACTACCGAGGCAGTCATCCGGGTGCTGCGAGGCCTCTTTGCAACGCATGGGTGTCCTGATGTCCTCGTCTCCGAGACCGGACTGCAGGTCACCTCAGGCACTTTTGAGCGATACCTTTTGGGACTGGGCATCCGCCATATCCTAACGGCACCATTTCATCCATCCAGCAATGGGCAAGCGGAGAGAATGGTGCGCTCGGCAAAAGAGGCACTGGCGCACCTGGACCAGGTAGACTGCCACGAGCGGGTCGCCAAATACTTGTTAGTGCAACACATCACCCCTCATGCGGCCACAGGCCGGAGTCCTGCTGAACAGCTTATGGGCCGCCGCCTCAGGTCCCCACTCGACCGGCTGCACCCGGACTTTGCCGTGGCCGAACCCCCAGGCTGTGCCAATGCACCACGGTCATTTGTTCCAGGAAACTTTGCCCAGAACTTTGTGGGGGACATTCCTTGGGTGCCAGCCACAGTAGTGGGAGTCACTGGACCTCGCTCATACCAGGTGGCACTCGAAAACAGACGTTTGTGGTGCCGGCACATAGACCAGCTTAGGCGCAGGGTTGGGGACTTGGACACTACCGTGGTGCCCCCAACTGCGCTCATGGCTCCGGAACAGACACTTACAGATGGCGAGGCTCCACCTACACCTCTCTCGCAAATTGCAGGCATGGAGCCGAACCATGCCGCTTCAGAGGGTCTGCCGGACTTCCCACAGACTCAGACCACTACCGTGCCTGACATTCCGCCAACTCCACTTGCGGAGGTTCCACCCACAGCAGCAGATCCAGGGGACTTGGTTTCAACGCCACCTAGGGTCTCGCCACAGCCTCAGCAAGAATTGGGCGGCCCCCGGACTTGGGTACCAGTCCCCGGCGGTCTGGCAGAGTTTCCAAGCGCCTAAGTTATTTAAAGGACTATGTTGTTGGACATGTAATACTGCCAGTCTAATGGAAGTAGGTGAAATGTAACCGATATGCTTTTGTGCCTAATTGAACTATTACGTGTAGTGCTGTATATAAGGAAACCATTACGATTGTAACTAACGCCTTATCTCGGTTGCCATTCTTCCAGAGTGGGTAGCTGCTGCGTCTTCCAATACTTTGCTAGAAGAATTCTTGCTGCTGTGGTAGCATACATGAAAAAAATTCTGTCCTTCCTTGGCACCAATTGGCCCACCATGCCCAGGAGAAAAGCCTCTGGTTTTTTAGAAAATGTCCATTTAAGGACCTTTTTAATTTCATTATAGATCATTTCCCAGTAGGCTTTAATCTTCGGGCAGGTCCACCAAAGGTGATAGAAAGTACCTTCAGTCTCATTACATTTCCAACATTTATTATTGGGCAAATGGTAAATTTTTGCAAGTTTGACTGGGGTCATGTACCACCTATAGATCATTTTCATTATGTTTTCTCTCAAGGCATTACAAGCCATAAACTTAACACCAGTATTCCATAACTTTTCCCAGTCATCAAACATAATGTCATGACCTATGTCTTGTGCCCATTTGATCATAGCTGATTTTACTGTTTCATCTTGTGTATTCCATTTCAGCAGCAAATTATACATTCTTGACAAGTTCTTAGTATTGGGTTCTAACAATTCTGTTTCTAATTTCGATCTCTCCATCTGAAAACCTATTTTTCTGTCCTGTTTAAATACCTCGTTTATCTGAAGGTAATGCAACCAATCTCGTACTTTAGACTTTAATTTGTCATAACTCTGTAATTTAACCCTTTCACCATCTTGTTCTAAGATTTCACAATATTTTGGCCATTTGGACTCCATATTAAGTTTTTTTATCTCTTTAGCTTCCATTGGTGATAGCCACCTGGGAGTTCTACTTTCCAGTAGATCTTTGTATCTTATCCAAACATTGTATAGTGCTTTCCTAACAATATGGTTTTTAAAACCTTTATGTAATTTTACCTTGTCATACCATATATATGCATGCCAACCAAATCTATTGTCATACCCTTCCAGATCCAAAATGTCTGTGTTCTCAAGATTGAAGCCAATCTAACTTCCTTAGGGCCTGGGACCACTAGGGTGTTGCTATTTATGGACCTTAAGGTCCTCCGTGGGACATACCAGGAGAGGCTAAGCCGCTTATCAGCTGATCTGCTAAGCCGCTAATAGCGCTAATCCGCTAATGGGCTTGCTTCGCAAGATGAAAAAACCGCAAGACGAAGAGAATCGCGGAACGGATTCTTTTCGTCTTGCGAGGCACCACTGTATGTCAATTTCTATTTATATTTTTCCCCTTTTACCTTCATGCCTGCAGCTGACTTTTCCTCTACCTCCTCTTCTCCCTTCGTCAGACGAAGCTTCCTCCTCCTCCTTTTCAGAGCAGGAATTCAACAGAGCCCATACAGACCTAAGAAATATCCGTAGGGTTGATTATTTTCACAAGAAGGGAAAGAGGGGGTCCACGTAAAAGCAGACATATAATATGTCAAGCACAGATAGCAGTGGAAGAAATAATAAAGTGGGAAAGGAGCCTCCCTTCCCTATGAGCTATCATACGACTAACTGGAATAAATGTGGTTTTCCCCAAGAGCCACACACACGCTCCATGCGACTCTTTAAAGGGAGCGTGGCTCTTGGGGGCTTTTCTGGTAGGTGGGGGAAGGAACTGATGGGCTGCCCTCTGTCCCTTCCCCCACCTCCTGGAAAAGCCAGCAAGAGCCACACACACGCTCAGCGTGGCTCTTTAAAGCGAGCGCTGAGCAGAGCCTGGGATGCATACAGGCTCTGCTCAGCGCTCCCTTTAAAGAATATTTTTTTCTTGTATTCCCCCTCTAAAAACTAGGTGTGTCTTTATGGTCAGGTGCGTCTTATGGAGCGAAAAATGTGGTGCCTGGTTACAAAACCACTGCTTAAAGAAGTGGTTCATCTGAACAATACTTTGTTTCAGATACAGTTTTTTCAATATATTGTTTCAGATACAGTTTTCAATACACTGCTTGGTCACCCTTGGTTAGGCTCACAAAGGTGGCCTGAGGGGGAAAGCAATGGAGATCTGAACTCACAGCCAGTTACACTCTGGAGTTGCTGTAGCCAAGGGGAGCTTCCCCGCCCCAATTCAAATAAATAAAAATACTATACTGTTAAGGCTTAGGGGGGAAGAGGCCATGTCCCACTTGGGTGGGTGTGATTTATAATAATAATAATTTAACATTTAATGATAATGATAATTTATTACTATTTCCCAGCCACCAACAGAATATTTAAAAAAACGATAAAACATAATATACTACAAACTTCCCTAACCCTTTTATAAGAATAACAATTATAATAATGATAACAACTTAAAAATTAATGATAATCATAATTTATTATCCTTCCCCAGCCACTGTGGGCTGCTCCCAACAGAATATTAAAAACGCGACAAAACAATATATATTACAAACTCCACTCAGCCTTTTATTATAATAACTAAAAAATAATAATTTAAAAAGTAATGATAATAATAATTTATTACTATTCCCCAGCCAACAGAATACAGCATTAAAAACACGACAAAACTTACCAGCTTCCTTCGCGTGTGAGAAACACTGAGGAGAAAACAGGTGTAGAGAAAAAGCGCCAAATGGCTGGCTCCGCCCACGGCCCGACCTGCGCTATGCTTCGTCACCCCGCCCTTTCCGACCCGGATATATAACCCCCGGCCGGCAGAAGTGCTCTCCTTTTGCGTCGAGAGCCCGCAGCCATGGTGAGTGCTTAGGGTATGGGTCGGTGGAGCGATCCGTCGCCGTCCTAGGCGGTGGGGCTGGGGGCGCGGTGGGCGCGGCTCTTCCGTGGGGCGGGGAAACGGAGGCGCCGCGTCTGGGCTCTCTCGGTCTTGGGGGGGGGTGCGAGCATGCGCAGTGCGGGCCGCAGGGAATCAGGCCGCCGGCCAGACATGCCCTCTAACCAGTCTTTCTCAACCTGTGAGTCCCCAGATGTTGTTGGATTACAACTCCCATCACCCCTAGCTAGCAAGGCCAGAGCTCAGGGATGATTGGAGTTGTAGTCCAACAACATCTGGGGAAAGCGATCGCTTGGCAAGGGGCCGGGGGAACTTCCTGCCACTGGACTGGGGCGCAGGAGCGGGACTGGGGGGGTTGCCCTAAGGGAGAAGGGAACCTAAGGATGCTCGACTAGAAACTAAATGGGAATAAATTAAAATGGCGATTAGTGAAGAGCTGGGGGTGGATTCATAGAACAGGGGTGGCTGGAAGGGGCCCGAGGGTCATTAGTGCAGCCCGCCGCCTTGCGAGAATGATCTGCTTAAACATCTGGGCTGATTCGAACCCACGCCCTTTGCCTGCTTTCGCCCCCTCAGGCTCGAGGACCCAAGAAGCACCTGAAACGGGTGGCAGCCCCCAAACACTGGATGCTGGACAAGCTGACGGGAGTCTTTGCAAGTATCTTTTTGTAATTACCTTTTACAAGCCTTTTTAAAAGGGGAGCCTTGCACTTCAGGCGTTAGTTTGCACCTGGGCTTCTTCGTTTTACCTTCTTTATTAAACACCTTACCCTTAATTTCTCCCCTTATTTACATATTCAATTCCTTGTGGTTGTTTATTAAATCTATACATTTCTTATGGTTTCTTATTAAATCTCGCCGTTCATCCCGGGATAGTTTATAGCAGAAAAATGCAAAATTAGAACACAATGCATAATAACAAGTTATAGAGAAACTAACACAACATTATAGATCAAAATAACAATATGTAGAAAAATAAAGGATCTTGGGGAAGGATAAGTTAGTGAGTCGGTCGAACATTCTGACAAAACAATGAAGGGATGTAAATTAACATCTGGGAAAATGCATGAATAAAACACTAAATAAATAAATAAATACATAGATTATTGAGCTTCCATGCCCAGTGGAAGTCTATCTATATTTTATAAATAGTTTTTTAAAAAAATAATACACATGGAAAAGCTTCCCTAGAGATGGCTGCCTTCAGATATTTTCTCACGGTTGCATCATCATCATAATAATAGCAACAAGGCCAACCGGATTCTGGGAGTTGCAGTTTCAGGCGCTCTAGGTTTGCCGCCCTGTAACCTTCCCTTTTCTTTTTGGGATTCTAGGCGCCGCGCCCGTCGACGGGACCCCACAAGTTGCGCGAGTGCCTCCCGCTGGTGATTTTCCTCCGCAACAGGCTCAAATATGCCCTGACAGGCGACGAGGTCAAGAAGATCTGCATGCAGCGCTTTGTCAAGATTGATGGCAAGGTTCGCACCGACATCACCTACCCGGCGGGCTTCATGGGTGAGGCCCTAGGTTTCTAGTAGCGGGGTTTGAAATGCCCGATTTCCAGCAGTGGGACATTCTGCAGGGCGGAAAACTGGGTTTACGTGACAGTTGCACCACACTGGCATCCCACTGTAACGACCGCTCTCTCTCCCCGTAGACGTGATCAGCATCGAGAAGACGGGCGAGCACTTCCGCCTGGTTTATGACACCAAGGGGCGCTTTGCCGTGCACCGCATCAGCCCCGAGGAGGCCAAGGTGAGAATTGGGGGACTCGATTTGAATCCTTTTCTTACTGAAAGACTCAGCCTTGCTGGCTTAAGATGGACAACCAGAGGAAGGAATGATCAGTGCTCGGAGTGCTTTTGTGATTTAAATCCCTCATGAGTTAGACCAGATTCAAATCCCGTTTTTCAGAAAGACTCACCTTTCTGGTATCCTCTTAATCAGGCTTCCTCAACTTCTGCCCTCCAGATGTTTTTGGTCTACACCTCCCATGATCACTAAATATCAGGACCAGTGGTCAGAGGTGATGGGAATTGTAGTCTCAAAAACATCTAGAGGGGCAAGGTTGAGGGAGCCTTTTCTTAATATTGACAAAAGGGACTGATTTCTCTCATTCCTCCCGGCAGTACAAGCTGTGCAAGGTGCGCCGCATCCTGGTGGGCACCAAGGGCACCCCCCGCCTGGTGACGCACGATGCCCGCACCATCCGCTACCCGGACCCCCTGGTCAAGGTCAACGACACCGTCCAGGTCGACCTGCAGACAGGCAAGATCACCGACTTCATCAAGTTTGACACAGGTAGCGGTTCCTCTGAGCGCGTCGAGAGCGCCAGAATCCTTCCCCAATGGGGGGAGACTGCCTCTGGCCCTGGAGGCTCCCTTCCAGAACACCCATATTTTTTGAAGCAGTTTTATTTTATTATTTCCATATGCATGCATATGTCTATCTGTCTGTCTGTCTATCTATCTATCTATCTATCTATCTATCATCTATATCTGTCCCCTCTGCCAGTCCCAATTCCGCCTCGCAGGACCATTGTTGCCCAGGCACCTTCTGACCCTTTCCCTCCCTCTTCTCTCTGACAGGCAACCTCTGCATGGTGACGGGGGGTGCCAACTTGGGGCGCATCGGGGTGATCACCAACCGCGAGAGGCACCCCGGTTCCTTTGATGTGGTCCACGTCAAGGACACCAATGGCAACAGCTTCGCCACCAGACTCTCCAACATCTTCGTCATTGGCAAGGTGGGCACTGGTCATATTATTTCCATTTTTGAAATTATTTTAATTCATTCTCTCCTCTGCATTTTTTTATTAAAAAATTATTTACATTTTAAAATATTCTTACTTTTATTATTCTCCTGTTGTTTTTATTTTTCAAGGATTTGTTTCCACAGCTATTCCAAATAAATCACCACCCAATTGATTCAGTTCAGTGCCATTTCTGTTCTTGCATGTAATTTATTTTTTTTAAGCAAGTATACTGTAATGCAAGGATATTTGTGAGGCATGACCTGATATTAACGGGGGGAATGTGATGCAACACCAAGGAGAACCAACTTCATCAAAATAAAAAAAATCCTTCCAGTAGCACCTTAGAGACCAACTAAGTTACTTTTGATAATTTTGTTTTGAATGCGGCAGACCAACACGGCTACCTACCTGTAACTACGATTTCATCAGGTTCGGGGTTCTCCTGAGCATGTTAAGAGTGCACTGAGCTGGAGTCCCTTTGGGGTGTGAAATTTGGATTTGGTTTAAATTGCACTCAGTTAGTTTCAATGAGAGTGCAAGTTGAAAAAGATTGGGCTAATCAATCCAATAATAATAATAATAATAAGTGCCTCTTATCGCTCCTTCCAGGGCAACAAGCCGTGGATCTCGCTGCCTCGCGGGAAAGGCATCCGCCTCACTATCGCCGAGGAGCGAGACAAGCGGCTGGCGGCCAAACAGAGCAGCGGATGAAGACGTGTGCGGAGGAATGAGGAAAGCAGAATTTTTTTTCGCCAATAAAAGCATCTTGCAATGTGGCTCTGGGGCTCCTCTTCTCTTGAGTGGCTTTATTCTTATTTCCACCTGGAAACATTTGGGGCCGGCTCCTACTTGGCCCTTGGAAAAATAATTTCAATTATTATTACAATAACGGTTACAGTTATTATAATAACGGTGGCAGGTATTATTACAAAAAATAATTGCATACAATAATGATTGCCATTATTATCGCAATAATGATCGCCATTAGTACTACAATGATGGTTGCCATTATTGCAATAATTGCAGTTATTATTACAATAACTATTGCAGTTATTATTACAATAATGATTGCAGCTATTATCGCAAATAACGGTTGCAGTTTTTACAGTAACAAATGTAATTATTTGTTGTCATTTAGTCATATCTGACTCTTCATGACCCCATGGACTAAAGTACGGCAGGCACTCCTGTCTTCCACTGCCTCCCGCAGTTTGGTCAAAATGCAGTTATTAGCAGCCAACAAAAAGGCCTTTTGAGTCACAGGGAAGGGAGCTGAATATCAAGTGACAGCTCCAGGGGTGGCCCTTAAAGAGAGAGGAATATCAAGTGACAGCCGCCAATGCCTTTTGGAGGGACTCCTTGCTCTGATCTAAATCCGAACCTGAGACCGAAATATAAGTGGCAGGCTAAATATAAGTGGCATTTCCAGGGCATTTCTCCTGACTAGCTGACTCTGCCTATTCTATGCTGCAGTTCCTGCATTTCAGCGGGTTGGGATAGATGAACCTTGGGTCCCATCTCTGCCCATCATGGTGGGCTTATTGCTTTCTTACTGTTAAGAAGGAAGGAATAAGAAACCATGCAATACTAAGAAGAAGAAAGGAGCAGTAAGAAGAAATCATTATTATTATTGCTTTTTTCTTAATAATAATAAAAGCAATAATAATAATGCTTTCTTAATTGTTCCTTCTTAGTGCTGCTTTCTTATTGCTTCCTTCTTAACAATAAGAAAGCAATAATAAGAAAAAAGCAGTAATAATAAAGCAATAAGTGTTATTGCTTATTAAGAAAGCAATAATAGGAAGAAAATGTGAAAGGCTCTTAAAGCCCTCCTCGGCCTAGGACCCTCGTACCTACGGGACCGCCTCTCCTGGTATGCCCCACAGAGGACCTTAAGGTCCATATATAGCAACACCCTAGAGGTCCCGGGCCCTAAGGAAGTTAGATTAGCCTCAACCAGAGCCAGGGCCTTCTCAACACTGGCTCCAGCCTGGTGGAATGCTTTGTCTCTTGAGACCAGGGCCCTGCGGGATCTGATCTCTTTCTGAGCCTTTGGCTCAGAATCAGTTTGATTCCCTCCCCCTTTTTCTTTTTCCTTTCTCCCCCTATGATGAGATTGCTCCCTAATTGTTTTAATGTTGTATCTTAATCTTTTAAATTGTATTTTCATCAACTTGTTTTTATTATTGGTTGTTAGCCTCCCTGAACCCGGTCTTGGCTGGGGAGGGTGGGGTATAAATAAAAATTTAGTAGTAGTAGTAGTAGTAGTATCAGTAAGAAGGAAAGAATAGAAAGAAAACAAAGCAGCAAAAAGAAAATTGCTTATTAAGAAGAAAGCAATACTAATATTAAAGCAACTTAAGAAGAAAATAATAAAAAGAGGAAGAAAGCGTTATTATGATTGTTTTCTTATAATTATTAGGAAGAAAACAATAATAAAAAAAACTAGTAAGAAAACACGAAGGAGTAGACGCAGTTCCTTCTCTGCCCGCAAGGTTGAACGCCTTTCCCGAAGCGCTCCAGGCCAAACCGCTCAGTATAATGGGAGCTATCCGGAGACGTCGGGTGCAGGTCCTGGCAGGGCGCTAGTCCACACTCCGATGACCGGGGCGGGGCGGAGATGAGGATTCGGCGCAGAAGCCCCGCTTCTTCTGGTGGAGCGGCTCCCGGGGATTAGTCTGAGCCCCGCTTTTTTTTTTTTTTTTTTTTTGTAAGGGTTTCGGTCTCTTGGGCTACCGCGCTGCCAGGGTCGGCAAGAGGCGGTTTAACCCCTTTTCTGCTGGGCAGCGTCGTATAGAGCGGGTGGATCGGGAGTTCGGTGTCTGCAGAGGAGGGGTTAAGTAGGCGGGGCCAGGAGAGGTTGGTTACGTTGACGCACCAGCTGGGCTCCAGAGCAGCTCGAGAGAGTCATGCGGAGCAGGAGCAATTCTGGGGTCCGCTTGGACGGCTATGCCCGCCTCGTTCAGAAAACGATCCTCGGGCACCAGGTCAGGCAGGCGGAGGTTCAACGGATGGAGCGGAGCGTAGGGTTTGGGGTGTAGGCGGGCAGGTGGGAGTTCAACAGGTGGTGCAGCGAACAGAGCTTTTTTGCCTTGAATGCAGGCGTGGAAATGTTCGGCCTGAAAGCCAGCGGAAGTTCAACAGGTGGGTGGGTGTTTTTGAGTCAGGCGGGAATTCAATAGGCGGAGCAGTGGTTGGCTTTTTTGCAGGCAAGAAGGAGTTCAACAGGTAGAGCGGCGGACGGGTCTTTTTTGCATTGAATACAGGCATGGAAATGTTCGGGGTGCAGGCCGGAAGTTCAGCAGGTGGGTGGGTTTTTTGCAGGCAGGCGGGAGCCCAACAGATGAAGCAGTGGGTGGGGGTTGGAATGAAAATCCAGAACACAGGCAGGCTGAAGTTCAACAGGTGGAACTATGGGTGAGGTTTTTTGCAGTGCATGAAGCCATGGAAATGTTCTGAATGGAGGCAGGCAGAAATTCAACAGGCGGAGCAGCAGATGGGGCATTTTCTAGGACAAGTAGGCAGGCGGGAGTTACAGGTAGAGCAGCGGATGAGGGATTTTTCAGGGTGTGCAGGCAGGTGGGAGTTCAACAGGTGCAGCAACAGATGAGGCTTTTTCAAGTATGGGCAGGCATGGGAATGTTCAGCACACAGGCAGGCAGAAGTTCAAGAGCTGGAGCAGCAGATGGGGCATTTTCTAGGGTGAGTAGGCAGACGGGAGTTAAACAGGTTTAGCAGTGGATGGGTTTTTTTGCTGGGCGTAAACATGGAAATGTTCAGCACATATGCAGGTGGAAGTTTAACAGGTGAAGTGGCATATGAGGGCTTTTTCAGGGTTTGCACACAGACGGGAGTTCAACAGGTGGAGTGGCGGACAGGGCTTTTTGCATTGTGTGAGGGCAGGCGGGAGGTCATCCGGTGGAGCAGCGGATGGGGCCTTTTTGCAGGGCGGGAAGACTTTGGAAATGTTCAGCATGCAGGCAGGCGGATGTTCAACAGGCAGAGCAGTGGGTGACAGGTATGGAAATGCTCAGTGTGCAGGCAGATGGGAGTTTGACAGGTGGAGCGGCAGACTAGGGCTTTTTGCAGTGCATGAAGCCATGGAAATGTTCAACAGGCAGACAGAATTTCAACGGGTGGAGCTGTGGATGGGGCATTTTCAAGGATGAGTAAGCAGGCAGGATTTACAAGTGGAGAGGTGGATGAGCGAAATTTCAGGATGTGCAGGCAGATGGGAGTTCAACAGGTGGAGCGACAGATGAGGCTTTTTGCAGGGCTTACAGGCATGGAAATGTTCGGCACGTTCAACAGGCGGAGTGGCAAAGACGGGCTTTTTGCAGGATGGGAAGGCATGGGAATGTTCAGCATGGAAGCAGTTGGACAGCGCTTTTTGCAGGACATGAAGGCATATGGGAATGTTCAGCACCTAGGCAGACAAAAGTTTAACAGGTGGAGCAGCAAACGGCCTTTTGCATTGTGTGAAGGCATGGAAATGTTCAGCAGGCAGGCAGGCAGGAGTTCAAGTCAGAGCAGCAGACGGTGGCTTTTTGTACGACGGACAGGTATGGAAATGTCCGGCACCCAAGCAGTTGAAGTTCAACAGGCGGAGCAGTAGGTTTTTTTTTAAGGGTTTGAAGGCATGGAAATGTCTGGTAGGCAGGCAGATATTCAACAGGGCTTTTTACAGGGTGTGCAAGCAGGCAGGTGTTCAACAGGCCCATCTCTCTGCAGAACCCCGTGACGGGCCTGCTGCCAGCCAGCGCTGACCACCCGGACGCCTGGGTCCGCGACAATGTCTACAGCGTCCTGGCAGTTTGGGCGCTGGGATTGGCTTACCGCAAGAATGCTGACCGCGACGAGGACAAGGCCAAGGCGTATGAGCTGGAGCAGGTAACTAGGGCAAAGTTGGAAAATAATATAAAATAAATAATATAATATAAAATAGGGAGGGAAAGAAATTAAAATAAAAGAAAAAACGAAAATAAATAAATTGAAAGGAAAGGAAAGAAATTAAGATAAAGGAAATGAAAAGAAAATAACATGGAAAGGAAAGAAATTAAATGAAAAGAAAAAAAGAAAAAATAACAGGCGGAAAAAGAAATTAAATGAAAAGAAAAAAAGAAAAGAAAAAATAACAGAAAAAAATAGAAATTAAAAGACAAGAGAAAAATGAAATAATGTAATGTAATAAAGTCCAATAAGATAGAAATGGAATATAATAATTAAGTAAAAATAAAATAATAATAATAAGATAAAATAAAATACAATAAAAATACAATAATAAATTAAATTAGGAAGAGAGAAATGGAAAGAAAATTAAAAGAAAAGAAAAATACAATACAATAAGATAGAACACAATAACAAAGTGAAAATGAAAATGAAATGAAATTAAAATAATATTTTCCAAGGCGCCGAGCATATTGGTAGGCTGCCGCCCCTCTGGCCTGAAGGCTTCCTGGCGGGTAAAGAACTCGCACCCACAACCCAAAAACCCATTCCCCAAAAGACTGGCTTTTCCCTTCCCCCCGACCCTGGGGTGGGGAAGCACCCTTCTTGGGAATCCTCTTTTGGGTCCTCCTTGCTGGCAATACATCTCCCTACCTCGCGCTGTAACCTGAGAGCCGCAGCGCCTCGCAGCCGGGGCAGCTGTTTTCGACCTGTCCTGACATGACCCCGGGGCGGGGGTGGGGGCGAGATCGAAACCCGATTCCTAGGCCGAATACCTGAAATGCCAAGTCGAAAAGCAGAGCGGAAAAAACGAGATACAGACAAACAAACTCTATTGGCTGCGGATCTCCAGGTCGGCAATTCGAACCCCTGGCCTCGGGCCTGGGTTGGAGGAGTTTTGGAGTTGTTCGTCCCGAGTTCAAGTTTGGAGTTTACAGCGGCGTTTTTCTTCTCCCCGCAGAGTGTGGTCAAGCTGATGCGAGGCCTGCTGCAGTGCATGATGAGACAGGTAGGGGGTCTGGCTTGATGACCGCTAGGTGTACCTTCCCATGTTTTTGCAACATTTCCCGGATCTGATATTCGGGGTCCGGCTAAATGACCACTGGGGTGTCCCATCCCTCAATTCCCTGCCATTTTATGGACCACACAGGGAGGTTTTCCCAGCATTTCCCAGAGCTGATATTTGGGGTCAGGTTAGATGTCCCATTTTTCTTCCAGGTGGACAAAGTGGAGACCTTTAAATATACCCAGAGCCCCCGCGATGCTCTGCATGCCAAATTCGCACCCGGAACCTGCGCCACCGTCGTCGGTGACGACCAGTGGGGTCACTTGCAACTGGACGCCACCTCCTTGTACCTCCTAATGCTGGCCCAGATGACGGCATCAGGTGAGATATTTTATTTTATTCTTTTATTTTATTTATTTATTTTATTTTATTTTATTCTTTTATTCTTTTATTTTATTTTATTCTGTTATTATTTATTATTATTATTATTAATGTATTATTATTATTATTACTATTGTTTGGTTTGGTTTTTATTTTATGTTTTTCTATTATTATTATTTTATTTATTATTCTGTTTTTATTATTGTTTTTATTTTTATTATTATGCTATATATATATTTATATATTGTCAGGGGTTCAGGAGCAGAGGCGAGGGCAAGGGAGGAAACAGAGAGCGAGGGGGAGGAGTCCGAAGAAAGGATGAGTGATGACGACGACCCGAGATCTCCGAGTCTTTCCAGTGAATCGAAAGATTCACAGAAAGGAGCGCCAGTGGCCAGAGCAAAGGGGGGGCCTAGGGGGACACCCCAGGAGGAAGGGACCAGCGGGGGTTCAGAGGGCAGCAGTTGGAAATCGGGGCCAGCGTCCCCACCAGAGCGCAGTGGAGAGGAAGGACGTCAGGAATCGAGCCCTGGCAGCTCGCAGCAGGGAGGAGGGCATGAGTCAGGAGTGACCACACCCCCATCGTGGAGCGAAGAAACGGTCAAGCGGAAAGTGGAAGGCTGGGCGCGCGCGCCAAGTTCAAATGCACGGGAAGGTGGTGCAGTAAGCAGCCCGGAAAGGGAGCCAGGTCCTAAAGCCCGACGCAAGGAGACAGGAGGGTCCGGGGGGTCAGCGTCAGAGGAGTCCCGGAGGGAGGAGACCACGGGGGGCAGAGGGACCCAGAGAAGGACGGTCAGGCGGAAAAGGTGGAGTAAGGCGAGGATATTAAGTTGGTGTACGAGGGGCGGAGATTCAGACGGAGCTTCGCCGGTCTAGCCATAAGACGTAGAGTTGCACGCAGCAGCTTGGAAATGGAAACTGTAACTCAATAAAGACTTTTATAAAGCGAACGCTGGCTAGCGTGATCCTCTGTGAGCTGGGATCGGGGAGCAGCTCTGACATATATATATATATATATATAGTATACTATATATTTTTTAAAAAAAATAATACATTTTTCATTCTTTTATTTTATTCTATTATTACCTTTCTTTTTGCAGGGCTGCATATCGTCCACAGCCTGGATGAAGTCAACTTCGTGCAAAACCTGGTTTTCTACATAGAAGCAGCGTATAAAACGGCGGTGGGTTGGGGAGGGTGGCGCCGAGTGCAGCCCCTGAGAAAAATAATCACAATAAAAATAGAAACCGATAAGAACCCATTATGATAAGAACCGTTCAGAATAACAAACCCATAATAGGAATCTGTAAAAATAACAACCCCTAATACTAACCCATAAAAAACATAACAACCATGATAATATTAAGCTGTAAGAATAATCCTTAATAAAAATAATAATCCATAAAAATAACCCATAATAACAACCCATAATAAAAATTATAAATAATAATTACCCATTAGAATAAAAGCCCCTAAGAACAACCTATTAGCATAATAAACCATAGTAGGAATCCATGAAAGTAATAACCTTTAATACTAACACATAATAATAATAATCAGCCATAAGAACAACCCATAAAAATAAATCATAATAAAAATAATAGACCCTTAATCCGAGCCCGTGATCATAATAACTCCTAATAATAGCAAGAAAAATAACCCCTAATTAAAAATTTTAACCCCTAATAAGAATAATATAAGAATAATACCTCATAAGAATAATAACCCATATTAGTAATCCATAAAAATAATAACCCCTAGTACTAATCCATAATAAAGATAACCCATAATAACCGATGATAATAATAAGCCATAAGAATAACCCATAAAATAACCAATAAAATAATAAAAATAACCCATAAAATAATAACCCCTAATAATAGCAATAATAATTGCCCCTAATAAGAATAATAACCCCACAGAATAAGAAACCCCAAAGAATCACACCTAAGAAGAAGAACCCCTAATAAAAATAATAAACGCTTGATCCGAACCCATGATTGTAATAAGTCCCTAATAATAGCAATAATAATATCCCCTAATAAAAACAGTCACTCCTAATAAACCACAATAATAATAACCCCTATGAGTAACAAACCTAAGAAGAATAAACCCACTAAAAAATAAAAAATTATAGGAACCCATGATCGTAATACAGTGGTACCTCAGGTTAAGAACTTAATTCGTTCTGGAGGTCCGTTCTTAACCTGAAACTGTTCTTAACCTGAAGCACCACTTTAGCTAATGGGGCCTCCTGCTGCCACTGCACCGCCAGAGCACGATTTCTGTTCTCATCCTGAAGCAAAATTCTTAACCTGAGGTACTATTTCTGGGTTAGCGGAGTCTGTAACCTGAAGCATCTGGAACCCGAGATACTACTGTAACTCCTAATAATATCAATAATAATAACCCCTAATAAAAATGGTCAACCAAATAAGAATAACAAACCCCTAAGAATAACAAACACCCCTCAGAACAATTCCTCATAAAAATAATAAGCCCATAATCCGAACTCAGGATCATAATAGCTGCTAGTAATAGCAATAATAAAAACAGTAGCCCCTAATACCCCCAATAATAATAATAACCCATGTTTTTTGTGGGGCAGGATTTCGGGATCTGGGAACGTGGCGACAAGACTAACCGGGGCATCACAGAGCTTAACGCCAGCTCAGTCGGCATGGCCAAGGTGAGGGGCACGGGGCGAGGCGGGATCAGGTGCCCACTCAGGGGTGCCTAAGCATGGGTGCTCATCCATGGGTGCTCTTTCTCCCTCTGCAGGCGGCCCTGGAGGCCTTGGACGAGCTGGACCTCTTCGGGGCCAACGGAAGCCCCCAATCAGTGATCCATGTGTTGTCGGACGAGGTGCAGCACTGCCTGGTACAGACCTGGTTTGGCGGGGGGTTGAGTTACCAAAATACCGTATTTTTCGCTCTATAACACGCATCTGACCATAACACGCACGTAGTTTTTAGAGGAGGAAAACAAGAAAAAGGTATTCTAAACGAAACAGTGGATGTATGTTTTTTTGTGGTTCATGCTGTGGCCACAGACATGTGATCTGACGGTGAGTTTGGGGTGACCCAGTGCAAAAATCCTGAGGATCCATGTGGATCCGTGCTTTGTAACCACATTTTAAGTGGGGAGGGAAGGAAAAGCACTCAAGGGACAAGGAGCACGCATGGGGGGTGTGGAGAAGGATGCTGCTAATAATGCAGGAGAGGCTCCTCTCCGGCTTTGCTCCTTTAAAACAAGCAGGCTCTGCGTCTCTCCCTCCTCCCCGGCAAGGAAACCACGATAGTAACCACTCTGAGACAAATCAAGAAAAATTGCGACCAACACTCTCCCCCAAATTCCCAAAATTAAGATCCAGAGGGTTCTAGGTAGCCTCCTCCTCAGGGTGTTTGTTTTGAATGCAGAGCTTGGAGGGCCACCCGTCCCGGATGCCCGATACTTTTAAAATTGAAAATTGAAATTGAATAGAAATGGAAATTTTAAATGGACATTGAAACTTTACAATTTTAAATTAACAAGGAAAATGGAACAATTAACAAAAAAATGGCATCAAACAAAATTATTAACATTAAAATTTTAAAATAAAACTTAAAATTAACATTTAAAATTTAAAATAAAGAAAAAATAAATTAACATTTTAAATTAACATTAAAAAAATTAAATTTAAAACTAACATGGGAACTTTGAAATTGAAAACATTAAAAATTTTAAATTAACATTAAAAGTTAAAAATTTTAAACTCACTTTCACAATTTGAAATTAGCCTTGAAATTTGGTGGCCCTCGGGTCTCTTCTGGCTCTATGATTGCATCCTGCTTTCCTGGTCTCCCTTTTCTTGAGGGGGTTAGACCAGATGACCCTTCTAGGATGGTGCTCTATGATTTGTCTGCCTCTCCCTGCAGTCCATCCTCCATTCGATGCTGCCGAGGGCGTCGGCTTCCAAGGAGATTGACGCCAGCCTCCTGTCCATCATCTCGTACCCAGCCTTTGCCGTCGAGGACACTGAGGTGGTGGAGAAAACCAAGCAGGAAATCATCGACAAGCTGCAGGCAAAAATTTTCAAAAAATATTCCATTTCCTGGGGGAATAAAAAGGATTCAAAGAATTTTCGGGGGGGGGGATTGATTTTTTAAAATTAATTTTCAGTAAAGATTCAGAGTTTTTTTTTTGGAATGGCCGAAATCATTTGGAAACAATAAGGATTTCTCAAAACAATTAATTCTTCTCAGGCAAAAAAAGCATTCAAAGAAAATGAAATTTCTCCCCCCAAAAATCAAAGAATTTTTCTGGGGGGAAATTGGGGGAAATCAGATTGGGGGGGGAGATGTAATTTTTTTAAGGGGAAAAAAAAGAAAACAAATAATTTTTTAATTTTTTCTTTAAAAATTAATCATTTTCTCATTTCTTTTTTAAAAAGTCACATTGGGAAAAATCAGTAAAAATTATTTGTAAAGCAGTTTCCCCTTCCTCCTCTTCCAAAGGGTCGCTATGGTTGTTGCCGGTTCCTCCGCGATGGCTACCGGACTCCCAAAGAGGTGAGTTTTGTTCTGTTCTGTTTTGTTTTGTTATTTTATATGTTTTTCAATTTTAATTTTGTTTGTTTTTAGTTTTTATTTTATTTGTTCATTTCATTTTTATATTTATTTCTTTACTTTAACTTATTTATTTTCTTATTTTCCCAGGACCCCCAACGCCTCTACTACGAACCCTCCGAGCTGAAGCTTTTCGAGAGTATCGAGTGCGAGTGGCCACTCTTTTGGACCTACCTGCTGATTGATGGAATCTTTCGTGGCAATGACGAGCAGGTTGGGGGGGGGTTTGATGACCCAGGTTGGCTTCAGGGTTCAAATTCCGATTCCCTGATTGATGCATGTCTGTCCAAAGGTCCAGGAGTACCGGGAAGCCCTGGAAGGCATCCTCATCAAGGGGAAGGACGGGATCCGCTTGATCCCAGAACTCTACAGCGTCCCATCGGACAAGGTGAGCGGTTTTATTTGGGGGGGGTCTGCCGTCTGGGTTCCCATTTCTAGAACCCACAAACTTCTCTCCCTGCAGGTCGACGAGGAATGCCAAAACCCTCACACGGTGGACCGGGTTCCGATGGGGAAGCTGCCGTTGATGTGGGGCCAGTCCTTGTACATCTTGGGGTGCCTCCTTTCCGAGGTGAGCACCCTTGGGTGCCCGGGGTCCCAGGTTCAGGATCCTGCTCCGGAATCAAACCCGTCTCCCCCCCCCTCCTTAGGGCTTCCTGGCGCCGGGCGAAATTGATCCTCTCAACCGGCGCTTCTCGACTGTCCCCAAGCCAGACGTGGTGGTCCAAGGTAAGCCCATTCCGGGGGGGGGGGTTAAAAATAAAATAAAATAAAATTATTTAATAATTTTTTTGATACAAACATCAACCAATTAATTTGAATTAATTTGTTAAAATTTGGATAAAATTGTATAATTTTGTTGGAAAATTAATAAAAATTAATAAAAATTTATTTGGGGGAAAAAAAACACCAACCACAAAAGACACATACAGTGGTGCCTCGCAAGACGAAATTAATTCATTCCGCGAGTTTTGTCGTCTTGCGAAGCACGGTGTCGGGAAAGTTTTGGAAAAGCTTCAAAAATCACCAAAGTCTTTAAAAACCTCAAAAAAGGCTACCATACCGCGTTCTATGAGTTGCTCCTCGAAGTCAAGTCGCAACTGTATTAATGGTGTTAAGAAAAAGGAAACAAACTTGCAAGACGTTTCTGTCTTGCGAAGCAAGCCCATAGGGGAAATCGTCTTGCGAAGCAGCTCAAAAAACAAAAAAAAACCTTTCGTCTTGCGAGTTTTCCATCTTGCGAGGCATTCGTCTTGCGAGCATAGGCGCCGACTCCATGGGGCTTGAGGGGGCCCGAGCCCCCTCAAAAATTCGTTTGGGGGGGCTCCGCCCCCCCAATAATCTCCGGCGCCCCTCCAGCAGAGCGCCATCGCCGCCCCTCCCCCAGCCCAAAATGCACAGGGAGGGGCGGGCTGCATGCCTCCTGCCCTCCCTCCCGAGCAAAAGCTCCACCCAATTTCCTTTGGAGCTGATTAATAGGCGCAGCACGCTCTCCCCTATTCGCTCACGAGGAGGCGGCGACACTTTATTTGCATATTCATGAGCTTATTTATTATTCATGAGCTTTCCCGGGCCCCCCCAATATTTTTTATAAGTCCGCGTCCCTGCTTGCGAGGTACCACTGTACAACAAAAACCATAATAACAATAATAACACAGTTACAGATAGGTAGCCGTGTTGGTCTGCCATAGTCAAAACAAAAAAATTCCTTCCAGTAGCACCATAAAGACCAACTAAGTTAGTTCTTGGTATGAGCTTTCGTGTGCATGCACACTTCTTCAGATACACAGATACTTCTTCTGTGTATCTGAAGAAGTGTGCATGCACACGAAAGCTCATACCAAGAACTAACTTAGTTGGTCTTTAAGGTGCTACTGGAAGGAATTTTTTTGTTTTAATAATAACACAGTTTGACAATTCAGATTTGGATACATTGATATACCTATGACCACCTTTTTAACAATATTTCCCCGCCTCTCTCTCCTCCCCCTACTTCCCACCACTATCCGCCTTATCGCTTAAATATTCCTTCCAGATTTATTGATATTTATCCATTCTTAATTTGTGCCGACATGCAATTCGTTCGTATGTAGCTATTATTATCAATCCATGTGCTCAATGGAAACTTTTTGCGGCTAGTCCAATTCATCAAAACAAGTTGCTTTGCTTCTAACATAGCACGGTACATCCATTTTTTTTTACCCCTTGAAATCTCCCACATTTCTGGAATATAATTTAGAATTAAATTCAATTCCCCTAAATAACAATTTCTTTTTATTACTCTTGCTATAAATATCCTCACCTCACACCAAAATGATCTTATCATTGGGCAGTTAATCAACATATGTACTAAGTTCACATTTTTACTCCCACATCTCCAGCAGTTGTCTGCATTTGTTATTTTCTTCTGGTATAGTTTTGCTGGAGTCCAGTGGACTCTGAATATTACTATTTTCTGCTGAATAAGTCTTAGTCTTAGTCTTAGATTCATGGAGACTATTTCTGTTGACTTGACTCCCATATATCATTTGTTATCTGTACCCCCAACACTTCACTCCATTTTTGTCTATCATATTCTAAATCATATTTCTTCCTGTTGAGTAGGGTTTTATATAGTGCAAGTGTATTGTTTTATATAGTGCAAGAGCTTTTTGTTTTTGTTGCACAAATTGAATCTTGTAGCAGCATGGCTGTTTCTGATGCTGCTATAGCCAAACTGCCTTTCCAACATATGTTTCAATTGGATGTATTGCCATGGTGTTTCACTGGTTAATCCAGACTTTACTTGCAGTCTTATATTCCACAAATTTTTAATTTTCATCAATTAATTGATTCAATGTCAGAATACCTTTTTGCATCCAATTTTGCCAAATTATTACTTGATTTCCAATTTTTAATTTTGGGTTGGCCCATATTGTTAATTTCTCATGTTGATAGGGGTCATCCTTATTATTTTTATTTATATTCATCCAAATTTTTATGGGTGCTTTAATAGTCTCCAGGATAATAGGATATTTCATAAAATTGGAGCCGAGTTTAGTCCGAGAGGCTTTGACGACCCAGGTTGAGCCAGACTTGGGTTTGGGGTTTGAATTCTGATACCTTGATTGACGCCTGTTTCGGGGTTTTCCGGGACCGGAGCAGCTCCAAATTAACTCCAGTTTCCCCATAGTTTGCATCTTGGCCGAGACGGAGGGGATCCAATCGGCTTTGAGGAAGGAGGGGATTGAGACGGAGACGGTTTCCGGCGTCTGTCCGATCCGGGTGCAACCGGCGAGGATCCTCAGCCATATCTACGCCCGATTAGGTGATGTGGAAAGGGAGCCCAGGTCATTTAGTCTGACCCCAAAAAATTACAAATTGGAGGAACAGTGGAGAAAAGGCATTTGAGTGGGATTGATTATGGGAAATAAAATAAAAATAAAATGAGCAAGATAGAATTGGAAGAGGAGAAAGAGACTCTTGGGTCATCTAGTCTGACCCCAAAACGTGCGGTAATTGATTCCGTTTAGAAATAAAGGGGAGGAACAGCAGAGAAAAGGTATTCGAGTGGGATTATGGGAAATAAACATAAAATGAGCAGGATAGAATCAGAAGATATGTGGGACGCCTTTAAGGCAACATCTAAGGTGCGGGTTCGAAACCCTATAACATTTCCTTGAATGACATTTTAGGGAAGTTTTAAACAACTGATGCTTTGTTGTTGTTTAGTTGTTTAGTCGTGTCCGACTCTTCGTGACCCCATGGACCAGAGCACGCCAGGCACTCCTGTCTTCCACTGCCTTCCGCTGATGTTTTAATGTATTTCTATTTTCTTTTGTTGGAGTGGCTAGGGAAACCCAGCCAGATGGGCAGGGAGTAAATAATATATTATTATTATTATTATTATTATTATTATTATTATTATTTCTTCTCCACAGGCCGTAACCAGCACATGACCCTCAGTGGGCGCCCCTTCCGCCACATGGGCATTCTGGGCACCTCCAAGTTCTACGATATCCGGAGCACCATCTTTGCCTTCACGCCACAGGTGGGAAGTTCCCTGGCTGTCATCCAGTCCAACCCCCTTCAAATCCCCCCCGCCCCGCAAATTTGGTGAATCAGGAGAACGCCGCCAATTAGTTTATCCTCTTAACAAAAAATCGCCAATTTGATCATAGCTGTTATTTCCCCCTCTGGGGGGAAAGCACCGTTTTCCATTCTCCTCTTTCATGGGTACAACGATCAAAAAAATGTTTCAATATATCCCCCCTTCCCCTCACCCCCTTGTTTATCCACCTCTCCCTCCCTCCTCACAGTTCCTTGACCAGCAGCAATTCTTCCTGGCACTCGATAACAAAATGATCGTTGAAATGCTCCGGACAGATCTCTCTTACCTGTGCAGCCGCTGGAGGATGACAGGGCGTCCCACCATCATCTTCCCCGTCTCGCACATGATGTTTGGTGTGTCTCATGCTGTTTTAAATTTAAAATAAATTTGTAAAAAAATTAATAAATTTAAATTTCAGAAATTTCAATTGAATTTCAGAAATTAAATTTTGGAATTTTCAACTAAATTTCAATTAAATTTCTGACATTTAAAACCCTTTTGAAATTTCAGAAAGTTCAATTAAATTGCCTGATTTTTAACAAATCAACTTTTGTACACGTTTCCCTTTTAACAATTTTTAACAACTTTGCTTCAGCTTTCATACATATTGCCCTTAACAGCTCAAATTGGATCTTTATTAAAAGTCAGAAGTTTTGGCTTCCTGTTTCTGGCGGTGGGAAATGGCAGATTCCCACACGATCGGACTCCAGCCGTTCCGATAATTCAGGGCTGATATGGGGGTAATTAGCCCTGGCAGCCTCCCCAGGGCAGGGGAGGACTGTCTCGATGACCCGCGGTTTGCCCCAGGTCAGGGGCACTGGGTCACGGAGCAAGGGACGGACGGACACTCCTGTGATGCCACCCATAGCCAGAGGCATCTGTTTGGGAAAATATAAAGATTTGAAAACCAAACAGACACGCTCTGAACTGATGAAGCTGGGGAAAAACCTGCAGTATGTACAGTCTCTGGTGTAAAAGATCGAAGTTCAAAGAGATCCTCATCATGATGTTTGGGATCTGGAGGGGCTTGGTATGTTTTTTCTTCTTCTTCTAACATTAACAATTCGTTTTGCATGCCAAGCCTCATTAAGAACCTAAATTGCTCTTCAAAAAGTGAGTGCAGATGGACTTTTATATGTAATTGGGACCTATTCGCAGCCACTTTTCTTTTAAGATTTGAAATGCCCGTTAAAGACGAAAACAAAGAACAAAATGGCGTCTACCCACTACGCACTTATGGAATATCTGAAATACCTCCCTGATTAAGAGAAACAGGAGCTAACTGATGGTTGGTCATAAAGACTGGAAACAATATTATATATACAACTGTTTGCAAAAAGAAGTTTTTTATTATGAGCAAGAGAAAGGGCTAAATGGATGTCTGGCAGCCCCCCTCTAGGGACTGGAGAGGGGACTGGGTGGATTCCAAAGGCCAATTGTTAACTGTCTGATATATGGCTACATTGCAAACAGTCTGCTTAAGAATAAATCAACAAGGAGTTTTAGAAGGAGGTTTCTCTCTGTTTCTTTGATAACAGCTTGACGGGAAAGATTAACGATTTGGGAGCTGCCAAAATAATTCTCAAAGAGTCTGGAATGGATGCAATTAAATGAAGCGGTGCGATGAAAAACAAAAACAGCTGAAAGAGTATAATATACGGACAAATCTGCACTCCATAGAAAAAAAAGTGTCTGTTTTCTGACATGAATGAGGATCACAGAACCAGAGACAAAACGTGGAGGATAAAATCACGATATGGAATTATGAAAACCACTGATGATGAGAGGCAGGACTATGATGTTGAAAACGCTTCAGAATTCAGACCGTGGGAAGCCAAAACAAAAATTATTACAATTTGGAAGACAATTGGAATTTTTTTTTTTTAGTTTTTTGTGGGGTTTTTTTTTTTTGGATTTGATTTGATATGTTAATTGGATGTTCTTATTGGAAAATTAATAAACGCTTAAAAAAAAAGTTAGAAGTTTAAAGAAATTCACTTCAACTTTGATACGTTTTTCCCTCAACAGCTTGACTTTAATTCGTATTACATTTCAGAAATTTTAACAAATCAACGCATCTTTCCCTTAATCTTTTGACTTCCATATTTTTTGAAATTTCAATTTCAGGAATTTATTAAATGTTATAAATCTTAACAAATTCAACTTTAGTCCGCATTTCCCTTAACAGATTGTCTTGAATTTTTATGACATTTCAGAAATGTTAACAAATCAATGCGCATTTCTCTTAACTTTTGGACCTACTTTTTTTTAACATTTCAGGAATTTAAATTTCAAAAATTTATTAAATATCATACTTTTTAACAAATTAACTTGAACTTTCCTTCAACTTTCTCTCAACCTGTTGACTTCCTTTAAAAAATATAATTCAGAAATTCCACTGAATTTCAGGGATTGATTTGACTTGAATTTTCATGGCCACCCTTTTACGCTGCTTATTTCGATCTCGTTCTTCTCTTCTATTCTGATGGCTGTCTTTTCCCATCCTAACTTCTCTCTCCTTCCCTTTCTTCCCTTTTCATTCCTTTCATCCGCCTGGCCAGATGACAGTGGTGATGGCATCCACCCGGCCGTTTTGGCCATGCTGCGGAAATTGCAGGACGGATATTTTGGAGGAGCGAGGTGAGGATTGCAGGAATCGTTTAATGCTGTCAGATAGGAGGCATCCAAATAATTAAATTATTATTATCGTTATCATTATCAGCCCAACAGAAGAATCTGGCTCTGGGTTAATTTATCTATGGGAAGCTTTTGCCAGGATTTCATTCTTAGGATGGTCGATTTCGGAGGGATCCCTCGGGGGTCACCTATGATTCTCTGATCCTTGCAGGATCCAGACCGGTCGCTTGTTGGACTTCCTCACCACCTCGTGCCACTCCCACCTGAGTTTCATGGACGCTGGGCCGGATGGTAAGCCCTTGGTGTGTTCCCATGCCGCAGCTTTTTTGAAGCCATCCTGGCTTGTGATTCGAACCCGGAACGATAAGAGGGCATTGGTGGCTTGAACGCAGAACATACCCTCCGGATGTCCCTCTTTGCAATCGCTCACTCGGACTGGAGACGAACCTTATCGTTCTGATCGCAGACTTAAAAGCATCCCAGTCGGAGTGCTGTCCCATGTCATCGGAGAAAAGCCGGAGGGGATGGAATAGGTCATCTCCATTTTTGGCAAAGGGTTCAAACAGGCAGCCCTGTTCAGGGAAGTTTTTAATGTATGATATTTTAGTGTTTTTTGGTTTCTATGGAAGCCGCCCAGAGTGGCTGGGGAAACCCAGCCAGATGGGCGGGGTACAAATAATAAATTGTTGTTGTTGTTGTTGTTGTTGTTGTTGTTGTTATAAATCCGGACCTTCTGGGCTACACAGACGCTGCCTTAAAGGTGTCCCAGATCCCATCGGAGAGATGTCAGAAGGGATGGTAGGACGTCCCCTCTTTTCACAGAGAAACATCATCCCTCTCTCTTTTCCAGCGGACATCTGTGACGAGGTGGCCCAATACCTGGACCATCTCCTCCAACAGGCGGCTCCCAAGGCCCACCTCCTGCCCGTGGGTCAGAAAGCCGGCTTGCACCGCTTCCGGGCGGCGGTGCGCACCACCCAGGACCTGGTGTCTCTGCGGTCAAAGGCGAAGGAGCTCCACGTGGAGAGTAAGTATGGCCTCCCAGAAGCAGGTCAGACTGGATGACCTCTGGGTTCCAGCCCAACCGTTCCACCTTCTCCTTGCAGACGTTGACATGTACATCCCTTCCAGCCTCTTCCAGGAGTCACGCCACTCAGTCCACCTTCTGGGGTCGCCGCGAGATGGCAAGGTGAGTAGCCAGTTCTGATTGGGTTTGGGGGCGGGAAAAGCCATGCTTTTCAATTCTGCAAGAAAACCCTCTTTCCCAAAGCCAACCCATAGAAGGTAAAAACCCCTTTTCCCCTCCCTTTCTTTAAAGCCACGTAAGAGGGAGGGCTTTCCCCTCCTGCCCGAACCTCCCATTTCTTGAAGCCCATTGGGAATGAGGCTTTTCCCTCGCAATGCCAGACTCCCATTTCTCAAAGCCAAGCCAGAGGGAAGGTTTCTTTCTTTCCCTTTTTTAAAAGCTACATAAGAGGGAGGGCGTTTTCCCATTCCATTTTGAGACCCCTCGTAGTGGGTTTTTCTGGGTGACATTTGGGGTGCCTCCTCACTCAACCAGCCTCCCTCACTGCCCCCAGACATCTTTCCCCGCCAAGGCGGACCTCCCAAAAGATGCCGACGGGAACGTGGACTGCCGGTCATTGGTGGATCAGCTCCGGGCTTGCGCCACCCTGCAGGATCAAGCCAACTGCCTATCCATATTGTACAGCCTCAAGTAGGAACTAAAGTTTTCTTCCATTGGCGTTTCCTTCATGAGAACTTCGGGCCTTGGTGAATTGATTAAATCTGTATATCGCCCTGCGTTGCAGGGAGTTAGACTGGATGACCCCGGGTCCTTTCTCTGGGATTTAAGACCACTTGCACAGGATCCCTTCTCTCTTCCCTCCTTCCTTATTTTATGTTATTGTTTCCCATAATCTTTCCCATAATCCCACTCAAATGCTATTTCTCTGCCATTCTTGGCTTTTAAGTTGGTGTTGGACTGGATGACCTTCTGGGGTCCCCTTCTGACTTGGACACTTCCTTTTAGGGGTCCCGATTGGGAGACGGAGCTATATGGTGAGGCGGGAGCCACTGTGGGTGACCTCCTTACGGAGCTGTATTCGAAAGCTGGCACAGCTCGGCAGTGGGGCTTGATCCGCTACATTTCCGGTGTCCTGAGAAAGAAGGCAGAAGCTTTAGATGAGGTTGGGATATTTTGAAAAAATATTAAAATTTTGAAGAAAAAAATAGGGTTCTGGGCAGCCTCCTTTTGGGAAGAGTTCAAGGAGGTCAATGTAGATGAGAAGGTACCCTTCTCTCTCCCCAGGCCTGTACCAGCCTCCTGTCACACCAGAAGCACCTCACCGTGGGTCTCCCCCCGGAGCCTCGCGAACGGACCATCTCGGCGTGAGTTTTTGGGGTCACCACTCGATTCCGGCACTGGGCCATCCCAACAGGGAAGGCAATCGGGGGGGGGCAATCCCAACTGGGGAGATAATCGGGGGCAAAATGGGGGGTATCTGGACCTCCAGAAGGGGTCAAACCCATGTCTCTTGCACCAGGGGCACGTTGGCCTTAGTCCCAGTATCCTTACTGGGAGCTGGAGAATGGGCTCAGTTTTAATTTCCTAGGTTAATCAATCAATCAATCAATTAATTAATTTGATTTTCTTGCATTCTTGTACAAAAGTCATCTCTCCTTTCAGAGACTTAATTTAATTTAATTTAACTTAACTTAAAGCTTTTTAATTTGCTGGTACAGGCCAACTGAAAATGGGCCATGACAGGTAGAATACTAAAGGTATGAATTTATTGTTGTTACTGATTGAATTTTTAAATTTAATATTAATTTTAAATTATAAATTATTGTCATTTTTTTCATTTTAATTGATTTAAATTTAATGCTAATTTTGTTTTAAAATTTAAAATTATTTTTAGACTTAAATTACTAATAAAATTTCTAAATTTAAGTACAATCCAAATTCAATTTGCTTAAAATTTTGAAATTTTAATAATAATAATAATAATAATAATAATAATAATTTTATTTATACCCCGCCCTTCCCAGCCAAGGCCAGGCTCAGAGCGGCTTACAAGCAATAATAAATCAAGTTGAATGATTACAACTTAAAAACAAAATGATTATTATTGAATGTTTACATTTACATTTAACTTGAATTTAAATTCTACATTTAAATTTTCAAATTAAAGTGGTTAGGTATTAAATATTTAAATTCAATTTCAGATTTAAATTAAATGTAAGCTTAAATTTTTTGACTTACCATAATGCCTTATTTTTAAAATTTAAATATTTACTTTCCATAAATTTAAATCATTTAAATTAAATTAATTTTTTTAGATTTGCCAATTTAAGTTCAGATTTAAATTAAATGTAAGCTTAAAATTTTTAACTTAGTATTATCACTTTTTAAAATTATTCTTAATTTCTGTAAATCTAAATTATTTAAATTTAAATTATGATCCTTATTAAATTTGTCATTGAAATGTTGCGTAAAAATACAAAACAGTTGGTAGAGCTGGCGACTCTCGATCCCAGTGTCCTGGATTCAATGTTCATGTCGGGTGAGACATTATTCCCTTCATCGGGGTCAGACTAGATGACTCTCGGCTTCCCAACTCTGCTGTTTTTCCCTGCCAGCCCCCTTCCGTATGAGGAGCTCACGCGCCTGATCGAGGATGCCAGTGAGGGGAACCTTAGCGTCTACATCTTGACCCAGGTGAGTGCTGGGTGCTGGGGAGAACAGTGGCGGGGACCCCATTTTCCAGGAACTCTGGGCACCCGGCTTTCCCGGGAACAGTGGTTTGTTCCCCGGAAATTTGCTCCCTGGGAACTATAGTCCTCCAGGAGTCGTAGTTCATTCCCTGGAGATTTACTCTCCAGGAACCGTAATCCTCTGGGCGTCGTAGTTTCTCCCTCTCTTCTGGTTCCAGGAAATTATGGTTTACCTGGCCATGTACATCCGGACGCAGCCGGCCCTCTTTGCCGAAATGTTCCGCCTCCGCATTGGGCTCATCATCCAGGTGATGGCGACCGAGCTGGCGCAGTCGCTGTCGTGCTCAGGTAGGCAGGAGCCTAGTCACAAGGCCACCAATTCCATAAAATAGGCGAAATTGTCCCATATAATAGGAGAAATACGGTATTTTTCTCATATAATGGATATATGGCATTGTGCCATATAATAGGAGAAATACAGTATACCCCCTCCCTCGCATAATAGCAGATGTAGGGGATTGCTCCGTATAATAGGAGAAATACTGTATTTTCCCCATATAATAGCAGATATATGGCATTGTCTTTCTCTTTCTTTCTCTTCTTTCTCCCTCTGCTTCTTTTTCTTTCTTTCTCTTTTTTCTTTCTTTATATTCATTCCTTCTTTCTGCTTTCTCTTCTTCCTTTCTATTTCTGCTCTTTCTGCCTTTCCATTTTCCTTCTTCCTCTGCTTTGTCTTCTTCCTTCTCTTCTTTATCTCTTTCTTTCTCTTCTTTCTCTTTTTATGTTTTTTCTTTCTCTGCATTCTCCTTTCTTCCTTTCTCATTCTTCCTTTCTCTGCTTTTTATTTATTTCTCTCTTCTTTCATTCTTCTTTCTCTTCCTTCTTCCTTTCTCTTCATTCTTTGTTCTTTCTTCTTCCTACCTTTCTCTGCATTTTCTTGTTGCTTTCTCTTCTTTCTTTCTCTTCTTCCTTTCTCTGCTTTCTTTGCTTGCTCTTCTTTATTTTCTTTCATTCTCTGCTTCTTCTGCCTTCCTTTCCCTCTTCCCTTCTTTCTTCCTTTCCCCTCTCCCTCCCTATCTCCCAGCCGACGAAGCCACGCAGACCTTGTTGAACCTCAGCCCATCAGACGTCAAAAGCCTCCTGCACCACATTCTGAGCGGAAAGGAATTCGGCGTCGAGCGCAGCGGTCAGTCCTTGCAGGGTCAGACTAGATTCCTCTGGGGGCTCCCTTCCACCCTGATCCAGCACTGAGAACCCCGCTGTCTCCCTGCAGTGCGGACCGCTGACTCAGCACCAGGTGTCTCCATCCACGAAATGGCTGGCGCCACCAAAACAGAGCGTGCCGGAATCGCCCAGCTCCGGAGCGAAATCCAGCAGGGGGGTGATTGGCGCCCCACCAAGGAGACGCGTCAAGGCGGGTGGCGACGGCGACGGCGTCTCGATGGCGCCCTCAACCGGGTGCCAGTGGGCTTCTATCCGAAGGTGTGGAAGGTCCTGCAGAAGGTGAGTGCCAAATCTGGTGTGACTCCAGAACAGGATCGAATCTCCCAGATTTGAGTTTTATGAGGCCAAATATGGAGTGAATGCGAATCTCCTGGGTTTGGATCTGAAGTGTGCAAGGTTGAATCTGGTGTGTGCGCAAATCTGAGCACGCACACATCTGAGTATGAATCCAAAGTGTGCCAGGCTGAATCTGGAGTGAATGCGGATCTCCTGAATTCGGATCCTAAGTGCATGAGGCTGAATCTGGTGCATGCGCTAGTCTCTTTGAGTCTGAATCTAGAGCGAGCACAAATCTGAGTGTGACTCTGGAGCAGGTCCTGGGTGCAAATTTGTCAAGAGGGTGACTCCATTTCCACTCTTTTCTTCCTAGTGCCACGGTCTATCCATCGGTGGCTTTGTCCTCCCGTCTTCCGCCACCCAAGAGGTAATGACAACTCGGTTTCCCTACTGGCACATAATAATAATACTGATGATGATGATGATGATGATGATGATAGAAAGATGGAAACAGGGAGAGGCAGAGAAATTGAAAGACAAAGAGAGAGAGGGAGAGAATGAGGGAAAGATGGAGACACAGAGAGATGGAGAGATTGAAAGAGAGAGAAAGATGGAAAGATTGAGAGAGGTGGAAAGAGTGAGAAAGAAGGAAAGAGATAAGAGGGAGAGAAAGAGGGAGACAGATGGTGATGTAGAGAGAGAGAGACATCAAGAGAGAGATGGAGAGAGAGATTGAAACAGAGTTAAAAAAAGAGGGATCAAAACAGAGATGAAAAGAGCAAGAACGAGAGAGAGGAGAGTCTCCCCTGGTTTCTTTACCATTTCCCGCTGGACATGGGTTCAAATCCTGACGCCCATTTTCCATTTTTGACAGATGACACCGGGTGAGATCAAGTTTGCCGTTGGCGTCGAGTCGGCGCTGAACAAGATCCCGCAGCCAGAATACCGACAGCTCTGCGTGGAAACCATCTGGGTGTTGACCCTGTTGGCTGAGGTCGACTTTGATGGAGCCGGGAGGCTTGTCAGCATCGATGACATCATCAAGATGGCGGATGAAGCGTTCCGCCAGGAGCAGGTGAGGGCGGGCACCCTTGGGCGGGGCAGTTGATTGATCACCCAAGCCCCACAGCACCATTCCCAGGGAAACAGAGCAGCGTTGCTTGCAAAATTGGTGTTAGAAGTGGGATCGTGGCGCCAAACGGCGACATCTCACCCGTATTTTTGGCCGATTGTCTTTATTGATTTTCTGCACCTGTTTGGGATGATTTATTGATCGATCACCCGGCCCCACAGCATAGTTCCTGGGGAAACGGAGCAGCTAAGCTGGTGACATTGGTGTCAAAAATGAAATAATGGCACAGATTTCTGCTCTCTGGCCTTGACTCTTGTCTCCTCTTTCCTTTTTTGCACCAAATGCAGAAAGTCCTGGGTGCGGATGACGCCATGCTGGAGAGGGACCCCGCCACAGGCATCTGCACCTTGCTCTATGACAGCGCCCCCAGCGGGCGCTTTGGCACCATGACTTACCTGTCCAAAGTGGCCATCACCTACCTGCAGGAGTTCCTCCCCGAAGCCAGCTGCAGCATGCAGTAGCCGAGAATGAACAAATCTCTCAATAGTCTTTCTATATTGCCTTTGCCTTGCAAATTATATGCAAATTAGGTTTCCCAACACAATTAAAGGGAGTTTTTTATTCAGGGAGGGAAGATTTTTCAAGGCTGTGTGGCATTGGAAGGCTTGAAATTATGAAAAGTAGGGTTTTAATTGTTGAATTTTAAAAATCATTTACCCGGTAATCATTTCAATGATTTTTAAATTTAACAATCATTTAATCATTTCAATTATCAATTTAAAAATGATTTAATCATTTCAATGTTTGTTAAATTTAAAAATTATGTAATCATTTCTATAATTTTAAAATTTAAAGATTATTTAATAATTTAAATGATTTAAATAAATGCATGGGTTTATAATTTTTTTTAATTACATCAATCCTTTAATTATTCAAAGTATTTAATCATTTTAATAATTCTTAAAGATAATAATTTAAATGATTATTAAAAATTAAAAATACCATGCGCCAAGGAAGGTGATGGAAAGCCCCAAATAAAATGTATTCCTTTCCTTTTGGTTTTGAAATGATTTTGATAACTTCTATAAAATGTCCTTTTTATGTTGGAAATGATGATTTTGTAGATTGAAAGTCTCCAATTAAATGCCTTAATCCGTTTTCCGATCTGAAATTATTTTGGTTTTGAAACAATTTTGGCGATCAAAAGTTTCCCAATAAATGCCTTAATTTTATTTTCTGATTTGAAATGATTTTGGTTTTGAAATGATTTTGGCGATCAAAAGTCTCCAATAAAATGCCTTAATTTCGTTTTCGATTTGAAATGATTTTGCTTTCAAAATGATTTGGGAGAATGAAATCCTACTATGAAATGCTACTAAATGTGTTGCATATTTAGATATCTTGTAGCCATTTCCTGTCCACATCTCCGAGTTCGAATCCTCTCCACAGCCTCTTCGTTTCTCTACTCTTCAATGGAAAGTTTATTCACTTATTCGTAATTTTAATGATATTGCCCAAAAATTCTCATACAAATCACAATTTTCTCCCCCCCACCCAAAAAAACCAACACACTTCCCCTCCTGTTTTCATTTTAGAAGTGAAAAAGTTTGTTGCTTGGAGCTGATTGTAAATATGGGTAGATAGAAAGATGCAAATCAATATAAATTATATAGCTAATTTAGAGATACATTATGATATATTATACATATGATATAAAAGTATACACACACACATATATACTTGGTGGTCTCAGGGTGGTTCATGGAAAATAATTATAAATAATTATAAATATAAATGGTAAGTAAAAATATATATAGAATATTAATATTTAATATTTGCTACGAAAGCAAATATTAAATGATATATACATCTATATTTCACTGCATAGTGGTTGCATTTCTTCTGCCAATATTTATATATATAACCATAAACAAGATAAATATATGATATATTATGCAACACATCATTATATTATTTATATATATCTAATAATATATTGAATATAAATATATATCAATAATATAAGGATATATCAACAATATGTCTAAGCATGTGTGTATATCATATAAATATAAGGTAAAGGTAAAGGTACCCCTGCCCATACGGGCCAGTCTTGACAGACTCTAGGGTTGTGCGCCCATCTCTATAGGCCGGGGGCCAGCGCTGTCCGCAGACACTTCCGGGTCACATGGCCAGCGTGACAAGCTGCATCTGGCGAGCCAGCGCAGCACACGGAACGCCGTTTACCTTCCCACTAGTAAGCGGTCCCTATTTATCTACTTGCACCCGGGGGTGCTTTCGAACTGCTAGGTTGGCAGGCGCTGGGGCCGAGCGACAGGAGCGCACCCCGCCGCGGGGATTCGAACCGCCGACCTTTCGATCGGCAAGTCCTAGGCGCTGAGGCTTTAACCCACAGCGCCACCCGCGTCCCATCATATAAATATAAATGAGATCTAATTAATATCTATATATTATAGATGATGTTTTATAATAAAACATAGCCCCGCAGCCCTGTTTTTGAAAGGAAAGAAACGGACACCGGTTGTTGTTTTTCTTCCAAGGCCGTATATTTAAAGTGAAATTCTCCCGATTTTATAAGGGGGAAAAAAAGACGAGAAAGATTCCCAACCGACGGATATCGAACAGTTTCCAAAATGTGTTTTTTTAAGGTTCATGTACATTGCTTAGGGGGGGAAAGGAACTCTGCACACGCTCAGGAGCACTTTCCCAAAATCCCTCCCAGAACAACAAGGGGGGAAAAACCCAAAATGTGAGAACGGAGAGATCCCATTGGTCGGTCGGTCGCTAGGTAGAAAACTGTAAACTCGGTTCAAGTCGGTTCCGGAAAAGTCCGTCCACCGGAACCTGTAATGGCAGAAGCAACGGAAGGGAAGTGGCCGGTGGGAAGGAAGCCCAGCCGGTCCGAGGAGGAGGAGGAAGAGAAAGTACTGGAAGTTGGGAGGCGTGGCTTGTTCCTCGTTTCCCGTTACTCGAAACGGTGGGTTCTCCATGGCTGTTTGGGGACAGGAAGTGGCTGCAAAGGGACAGGAAGTGGGGAGGAAAGGAGAGGGAAAGGGACAGAAAGGTGCTGTGAGGGAACAGGAAGGAACTTTTAAGGGAACAGGAAGGAGCTTTTAAGAGAACAGGAAGGGACTGAGAGAGAATAAGCAGGGACTGTGAGAGAACAGGAAGTCCCTGAGAGGGAACAGGAAGTGGCTGTGAGGGAGAAATGAAAGGGACTTTAAGGGAACAGGAAGGGACTCAGAGAGAATAAGAAGGGACTGGGAGAGAACAGGAAGGGACTGTGAAGGAGATGAAAGGGACTATGAGGAAACAGGAAGTCCCTGAGAGGGAACAGAAGTAGCTGTGAGAGAACAGGAAGGTACTCTGAGGGAGAGTAAAGGGGACTGTGGGGGAACTGGAAGTGCCTGAGAGCAAAGAGGAAGTGAATTGGAGGGAACAGGAAGGGACAGGGGTAAAACCGGAAGGGGCTGTTCGAAAATAGGAAGGGGCGGTGAGAGAACAGGAGGGGCCTGTAAGGGAACAGGAAGTGCCTGAGAGTGTACAGGAAGTGACTCTTAAGGGAAGAGGAAGGGACAGTGAGGGGACAGAACAAATGGGAAGCGGAGAGGAGGCAAGGCTGGGGTAGGAGTGGGGGCAGAACCTGAACCCGGCGCCTGGAGCTCTCCCTGTTGGACGTCAGTTGACATAGTACAACCAGTAGAGAAGGTTGAAAAAGCCGAAGGTGATGGGGAATAGAACCCGGGACCACTTGTCAATGGTGCTGACATCGGCCAGGTCGGGGATCTTCAGCTTCAGCTTGGAGGACCTCCGGCGCAGGCGGCAGTTGGCCCGGGTGGTGCGGCAGGCGGGTGCCTTCCGGGAGTGTAGGGCGGTGCCTGAAGATTCGAACCCGCGCAGGCCACAGGGGCGCGGGTCTGGCGAGGGCGACGTGGAGAAGAGCGGGCAGTTGCTGTCGGAGACGCCGGCTAGGAGGAGGTTGCCGTATGGGTCAGGCTGGAAGGAGAGAAGGGAGCTCAGGGTCATCTATCCCAACCCACGGGGATCCCGGCCTCAAATACAGGACCCTGAGGTTCACCCATCCCCACCCACTTTTTAGGCAGGAATCTCGCACCTGAGTCCGGGGCTCCAGGCGCCGGGCGCGTCTCTTCTGCTGGCGGGGCCCTCGCCCAAAGAAAATGTAGTTCACCAGGGCATATTCCAGCAGCGCCAGGAAGACGAAGACGAAGCAGCCCATCAGGTAGACATCAATCGCCTTGACGTATGGGATCTTGGGCAGCGTTTCCCGGAGGTGGGTGTTGATGGTCGTCATGGTGAGGACGGTCGTCACCCCTGGGTGCCGCGGCAGGTGGGAGAAGAAACAGGGTTAGTTGGGTGTCCGAGAATTATAGCACAGGGAAGACACCATAATTTAAACCTCCGTCACGATCAACAATCGAAATATTTTTGTAATATCCAAAGATGGGACTGAAATATTGAAATCAAACGTTATCATACTCTGAAATCAATCAATATCATGATTGAAGACGGATATATAGAAACGCCTAGTGAAATCAAACCTTTTCATACTGGAAGTCAAGCGATATCGTGACTTAAGATGAATATATAAAAACATCCATGGAAATCCAATGATTTCATATTGAATCTGGATTCCATATGACCTTAATGGGTTGGAGAACTGGGCACCACTTCACCAAATGGGATCAAGGTCAGGTCCTGCCTTTAAGGAAAATCAGATGGACCAATAGAAGGATGGTGGACCTCAGGGTCTTGGTGGACCACCAGCTTGCTACCGGGATATGGGAGAAGGTTCTCAGCGGCTTGGTGGTCCTCCAACTTCACCTGAATCCAACCCAATGAATGTGAAGAGGTTCCTGCATTTAGGGAGGATCACATGGACCCTGATGGACTCAGGGTCTTGGTGGACCACCAACTTGCTAGCAGGGCATAGGAGAAAGTTCTCAGGGTCTTGGTGGACCTCATACTCACCTGAGTCCAACCCAATATGTTTCAAGAGAGACAAAGGTCAGGTTCTGCCTTTAGGAAGAATCACATGGACCCTTGGTAGCAGGACCCCGGAGCAAGATCTCAGGATCTCCTCACCTAGGGCCACCCGGGCGGCTGAAGCATCGTAGTTGATCCAGAAGGAGACCCAGGAGAGGATGGTGATGAGGATGGAGGGCATATAGGTTTGCAGGATGAAGTAGCCGATGTTCCTCTTGATGCGGAAGCTGAGCGACAGGCGGAGGTAGGAGCCTGTTGGAGAAAAAGGAGATGGTCAAGCCGGACAGGACCCCAGGATCCAGATGAATCAGTGAGGACATCTCTGGTATCTTCAGCAAAGGGTGGACTGGAGGACTGTGGTCTCCCACCCTGTGTCTGACAACCCCAGGATTTCAGGCAGGGGGTTAGACTAGATGACCCGACAGGGCAACCCACCAGTGGTGAAGACCACCTCACGGGTGACCAGCTTCTGCTCGATGATGGTGAACTGGGGCAACTCCAAGACCTCCATCCCCGTCACGGCTGAAGAGTTTCCTTGCCAGAAGAAGACAATGTCGTCAACGGTGTAGCCATCTGGGAGGAAAGAAAATAAGAAATAATGAGAATGATTCCTGGTTGAAAACTATTCCTGTCTTAAAATTAATCCTGGGTTAAAATTAATTCCTAGATTAGAATTATTCCTGTCTTAAAATTATTCCCATTTTAAAATTATTCCCGTCTTAAAATTAATCCTGGGTTAAAATTAATCCTGGTGGAAAAGTATTCCTGTTTTAACATTATTCCCGGATTAACATTATTCCCCAATTAAAATCCTCCTGGTTTAAAATTAACCCTGGTTTAAAATTATTCCTGGATAATACTTTTCCTTGATGAACAAGGAATAATTATATTTTATTCCTGCCTTAAAATTATTCCTGGTTTAAAATAAACCTGGTTTAAAATTATTCCTGTTTTAAAGTTAAATTCATTTTTATTATCCCTTGATTAACAAGTAATTATTTTATTTTAATTTATTTTATACTTATTCTGTTTCAAATTAATCCTGGCTTAAAATTATTCCTGCCTTAAAATTATTCCTTTATTTTTCCTGGATTAACAAGCAATAATTGAATTGAATTTAATTGAATGATACGCACAGCTCTCAATTTCCAGGGTGCAATTCTGCTGATCCAGGGGGTATCTCCGGAGATCCATCATACAGGCGGCGGTTGTCGTGATCCTGCAGAAAGAGAGAGAGAGAGGATTCCCAGGATCCATTATGGGGATCCCTGATTGACGGATGCAG